GAGGGGTGTTTATACAGAGTCAGGAGAAATATGCTGACCCTTGGGATTTACCATTATTTGGGTACCTTAAGTGTTGAACGTTAAGCTAAATCGGTTGCCTTTCGATTTTAAATCAGACATTTCTTTAATAACTGCTATTCTTATCATCTTGCTATATTCAGTGATCGTAGATTTAATTGTTGCAGCTGATTTTGGTTGATTATTATATCCTTTAGCATGTAGCCCTTTCCTTATATCCTCCGAAGAGCAGAAAATTCTAAATGTTAGTCCTTCATGCGCAACTATACAAGCCAGGATTTCACATAACTGTTCCTTCTTTTGATTTTGAAAATAATAATTTAATCTTTTTGGTAGCTTTTGACTAGAACAAAACGCATCATTTTCATTGTCTGCTGCTACGTAGCTTTTAGTTTTTAAATTTATGTTATGTCGAGTTTTCAAGTGGGTGTGAAGGCCACTTGTGGATCCTCCCGAACATTTGATTTCTTTTGTGCACTTCTTACATTTTGCTACTTGACCTTGATTAGCAACGTCGCTCCTTTTTTGTGTTCTTGAAATATATTGGATTCCGAATTCATACTTTTGATTCTAAAACAATTATTTTAATTAGTTAATAATTTTAAAAAAGTAAATCTAAGTTATTAAGGAACCATAAAATAAGTTTTATTGATAGGAAATTTATTTATCTGCAGTATATTTAATAGTGCTGATGTTTATGTATATAATATTTATTGGATATTGTACATAAATTTACAATCAAAATTAACACTGATATCATTCACCAGTGCATGTAGATATTTTTGAGAACAAAACGTAATTGCAAAATGTTGCAAATCGAGCAACATATTAGTTGCTCAATTAACAAGACAAATATTTATTTAATCCTATCTAGGATACACAAATTTCATTCTGGTTCTTAAACTCTAGGACTACTAAATTTACTTACATATATTAATTATTGCAGAAGCACAAAACTAACAACTTTCACTCTCAATTGGCGTCTATGTACTGAAAAAACACTCCGCTCTGAACTAACAGCCTTTAGCTACAGTAGACGGGATCTCATTTGATTCTAAGGAAATGGGAGATTCCCCGAATCAAGCTTCCGTGTAACGTGCATCAACTAAGGCTAATGTTCCAATACCGAAAATACCGGTATTCTTAAGGTTAATACAGGCGAAGATTTGGACGGTATCCCAGTTTTTGGTATACCAGTATTGCATTCCCTATCCATAACTCTATTTCTCTCCTCAAAAATCAGAATATGTACCCGTCAGGGATCGGAGATATGAAGCTCGTAAGTTACCCCATGTGGTACTTTGTGGCCCGACACTAATGGAATTTCAAGTTGAAACCTATGCCAATTATTTGTAGCTATCCTGTACCACAGGTGGATTTACAGGGGGGGGGAGGGGCTTTCGGGCTGAAGCCTCCCCAAAATGGTAAAATTTAACCATGTTTTATGGTAAAAAATATTAAAAAATTATGTCTTTAAGTATTATTGCTTGTTTAATTACATTTAATAGGACTTCAAGAATCACTTAAACACTGTTTCATATAGGTAGTTAGTATCTTTCTGTTTTTCCAAAGTAATTATCGTTATATATAAGAAAAAAAAAGTTTCCGTGCTGAAGCCCTCCCAAAATTAAATCCTGGATCCGCTAGTTTTCTGTACTATATTGTACCAAAATATCATTATCTGTACCCATCAAGAACCGGAGATAAAACGCTCTAGACTACATGGTACTTTGTTGTCGGACTCCAATGGAATTTCCAGTTGAAACCTATGCCAATATTATGTACCAATTTGTATAACAATAATTACAATTTGTACCCATCAGGGACGGGAGATATAAAGCTCGCAAAAGTATCGGGCCAGTGACATGGTCAAATGATATACGGAATTTTAATATCAGGTAGATATCATCTCCACTGATGTCGCTTGACTGGGCTTAAATGAAAAAATGCTTAAAATGTCTTCCTCTAAAGTACTTTTAATTTGGTTTATTTTGAATAATTAATTATCCCTCATTGTTAGAAGGAATAAAGAAAGACTAAATATAAACATTTATTTAAGAATTTGATACTTAACTAAAGGATAAAAAAAGAAAAATAATTATTTAGGTATAAAATGAATTTCTGGAAATAATAGTCAGATGGTATAAGTATTGTTGCAAATAATGGTACAAAATATTGTTGCAAAACTGAGGAATTTATAAAAAGCAACATGTAGCATACAATGTCGTAGAACGTAAAACATAATGACGACAAAATCATAAATAATAATTTCTAAAAATATTATTATTTATTTTCTCATAGCTAAAATGCCAAATTTCTTAACAATACTACCACTTCTACTTATTTTGAAGCTTATGGCATGCATGCATGAAGACATGAAGAAAACAAATTTAATATAAAAAGAAAATCACATGTTTCCAGGAAAATTAAATCAAATGTCCTTACTGAACACAACCTTATAAAATTATTTTTAAGTTTAAAAAAAGATATATGTAAAATTCATTTTATCAAGGACATGATATTGTTAAAAAACTATCTCATTGTACTTGTGTGCATAGACGCAGATTTTAAATTTTAATGGAGGGGGGGATAAAAAAAAAATGCTGTGAGTTTTTATTCTGTATTAAAATTCAACATAATTATTGTGAAACGAACAAATACAATATTGAGTGTTTAAAATCAATTTGTTTATATGTTTGTATAACTGTAGGGATTTTTTTTTCACTTAAAAAAAACTTAAATCCGTGCAGGGCATGGGACATCTCTTTCTCCGCCCCTGCTGTTTTAGATATAGAGGCTATGTCCTGGAAATGGAAATGAAAGAACCTAAACAAATAAGTGAATCAACTTCAAAAGAAAACATTGCCACAATATGACTGATAGAAAGCTGTTGTTTAATAATTCATAAACACATTTATTATTAAGGTTATATCAATAGAAAAACATGTAATACACTTGTAAATACAATAAAAAAATTGCTCATTAAATTATACTTAATATATCCTTAATAATACTTACAATAACATAAATAATACTTCCAATAACATAAAATAGGTAATAAACTTTACATTGAAAATATGCTGAACTACATACATACATACATAACATATATGTACATATATTTATAAGTAATAAATTGACGGAATAAATACTTTTGGCTGTATGCTCCTAAAAAATTCAATTACCTAAACCAACTTAAATTTTCGTGCAAATTTAAATAAAGAATCAAGAATATTTTTATCAATTCAGTTGATTTGAAGGTAAATATAACCATAATTGTATTGTTATTTACAAAAATATATTATTCAGCAACAGGGCGTTCCGGGTTTCAATTTTTAGGTGTTGGTTTGTTTTATTTTTAATAACAGTGATTACTCTTAGAAAAAATAAGAATAATATATATAATTGAAATAATGTTAAATATGCTTAATTACCTTATTAAAAAAAGATTTGTTTATAGGAATAATATTGCTTTTGGGGGTATTTTTTATCCATTTTTTTCTTGACATTTTTAGAAGATGAAAGATTAATAATTTCTATCATTAACCACATTGCAGAGGGTTTCCACCTTTCCTGCTATTAGGGTTGTTACAGGTCACTGTCTGACTTTTCAGACTTTCTTTTATTATATTTGCAAAATTAATGCCCATCGCTGGCATTGTTACTGGCAAACAAAAAGCTTTTAGTATTTTAAGAGTGTTTTGGACAAAAAAACTACATTGTTAATGCACGGTTAGTTTTTTGTTTATTTTCTAATTATATTTTTTGCGGTGCAGTCGGTGTTTAATATACTTAAATCCAGCCCTTCAATCCTGGATGTATGTTTCATTAAAATTAAATCTACCCTCATTGGTAAAGAATCATTTTTAAAAATTATGTTTTTTAAGTTATTAAACTACTTTCTACTAATGCAGTACTTGCTGAAGGAGCACCATATTCAAAGAATGGTATCATTACTGCACTTTCTATAGGCAGATCCTTCACCAGTTGTATGATTTCAGTAAAATGCGTTTAGGTGCTCACCTATGCTGCAAATGCTCGTTTTTACTTCAGTGTGTATTTCATTAATCCCATTTCGAAAAGGATTTTCGAATTGTGAAACTTTTTCTTCTATATTTTAAATTTCGGTAGATGTTTGCCCATCTGAATGAAATATGTTACTTGTATAATGTTGCTCAAAATACACAGACATTACTTTTTTAGCAGTTTTCTTGATTTTTCAGCTGGGCAATCTTCCAAGTTTGGCAATATACTCATTCTCCGCAACCAATAATATTGAATATATGAGATTTTAAGCAATATTTATACTATGAGTTTTTAAAACTTCAGTTTTAAACAAACGTAAAAGTTCTTTACACTTCCTGACATCTGCCTTATTGGGCGCCACATTGTAATATTTTTAATTAAGTGGGCTATGTTAAATCTTATGAAACACGTAGTTATGAGATACATTTCATTGTGAACTAAAACATTATAGTAGGCACAATATAATCTGAAAGTGTTTTAAATTGAGTGAATGACAATTCCTGATAATAATGCCAAAGATCTGTCATTTACAACAGTTTTCAGATTTGGCACTCCACACCAGTTCCAGTCCAGCCACAAATGAATAGTCATGTTACTATTATTTGTCTTTTTGATAACATTTGACATACAAATATCGAACCGGATTTATTGCTAAAGGGTCCTTACATTTTCTTAAGTACTCTTCCTGTGGCTGCAAGACTAAAAGAGTCATGTTTCCATACTCTTTTGACACTCTTGGTAGCATTGTAATTGGAGTGGTTTCCAGTATTTAACGAAAAATTTGTTCAGCCCAATATCATAAATACTTTTCTTGTGTAGTGTTGCGTATTTTATTTTGTCAGGAAGTGCCTCCAAAATGTCATAGTCAACAAAATCTTCCCCAATTTCTTGTATTTTAAGCAACACAAAGCATTTACAAGACGGTAAGTAAGATGGTTCTGGGTCACCCTGTGCCATTATTCTATGAGCTTTTTTAGCTCTGTAGCCTCATTGTGAATTAGTAAGCTTGACAAAGCTAATTCTTTAGCTCTAACTGTAACCTTCCTCTTTGAATTAGTGCTTTTGCAGGGATCGTCAGACTCGTAGGAACATCGAATCATTCCCTAAAAAGTAAAAATATTTTATTTGTCATTGTTTAGCAATTTGATACAAAAAATTATAAAAAAAAAAAAAAAAAAAATATATATTCCCTTTCTTGTGGTTTAATACATAACGTATTACGTTGTTATTATTTTATTTAACCTAGAAAACTATAGGACCTATGCATTTTTTGCAAAATGGTTATTTTTATTTCTAAAGAATTTCAAGTCATTCATATCTTTGATCTGACCAGTGGAAAAAATATTAGAAATTTGTATTCCCTAATAATAATAGATAAAAATCTTTAATTATTATATCTCTGAATGCTATTTCACAATATTATTTTTGTTATTGATGATTTCCGTTATTGATTATCTCGGAATTATCAGATATTCTTCGTTAGTTGTTTACCCAATACGTTAATTCCTTCCTCGAAAATAAACAGGTATTTTTTTTACGAATGACTACAATAAGTTCCCATTATCGGACTACTAAGCAAAATAACTACGAATAATAATAATTACGCAGCTAATTCATTCAATCAAAATAATAGCGATTAAAACGAGAAAATAAATTTTAAGTTAACAGTATAGTCCAACTAACTGGCAGATCTACCGGTCCCGTTGGGATTGGACATTATTCTAATAAATATTTATCTGTATGACGATTAATAGATACATTTTATTTATTAATATTGTCAAATTTTTTGGCGCAATCTTTAATCTGACATTATTTTCATTAAAAGCCTCCTTGATAACTTAATAATGGACTCATATCTAAGAAAACCAAGCTTCAAAAGTTTAATGAACAATTACAAATCCAACAGTATATTCATAAAAAGCTCCGACCAGCAGAAAATAGTAGCTCCGTACATCTAAGAATTCAAAAAAGTTACATAAACTTTATGCTCAATCTCAAATCGGACAGTATTTGCATAAAAAACGTCCCCCACTAGAAAATAGTGGACTCTCATATTATTAGAAATCCAAAAAGGTACATAAACTAGAGAGACGATTGCGCAATTCTAAAAAAGGCTTGCTAAAATAAATTATAAATTCAATTATTATACAGTTTTTTTATTTTTAATCGCCTCTACCCTAAAGGGTCATTATTATACGCAGTTATAAAAGATAATGTACAACAGTATATGCGTATTTACAGCCATTACATGAATCCACGTGCCAATAAAACTTTTATTTCTAAAAGCATTTTTTTTTTTTTTAACAGACCTTTAAGGACGGTTCAAACATCATTTTATATATTTTTTTCTTTTTCTTTTAGAGTAGTAGCCGTTATAGTAAAAATTAATAATTAACAAAAATTAATTATTAGTAAATACATATTTCGTTAATAAATTGTTAATAAGGAAGTTCCATGTAGGGAATACGGGTTTTTTCAAAAATGCATGAAAAGGGATGTCATAAAACACGGAAACATTCGGCTGTTCGGGATTTGAGTGATGAAGTGATTGTAAACAACGCGTAATCCGTGCGCAACTCGTGTGAACTAGTACAAAGTCTGATCTAAATATACAATACAAAATTTACTTATATGTTGTTATTATTGTCTGTTCTTTTGCATTCCAGAATATTGGAATATATCTTGACCAATGCCATTAATAACTGTTCTTCTTTTTGGACAAAGTATTTCGCTGTTTTGATGGATTCCATCTCAGATTACATTAATCACTTACAGCCTACTAGGGATAGGTCAATGAATCTGGATCGAGAACAGGAATCTAATTTCATATTTAGAAAGAACAGGTGGCGCAAGCGTTCCAGTCTTGTTCCGATTTTGTTCTAGCGGGTTCGATAAGGAACAGTTATTAGAGAAATGGCAACGCCTGCTATTTAAAATAATTATTTTATTTTTATTATCTCTTTCACTATTTTTTTTTTAAATAAACTTATCTATTAATCTTTAAAATATAAAATTATCTCCGAAATAATTCTAGTAATAATATTAATTATCCTAAGAACTGGAGGGCATGAAACTTTTTACATTTTTATTTTAACTTACAATAGTACTTACCATGAGTAGCATCAACATTTCTACTAATATTGTTTCGTACATATTCTTTTAAAACATTTGTAATAATATATATTATTTTTAATAATGAAAAAAATATTGTAATTTGAACAACACTTTGCCTCCGATAACTGACTCTATTTTATGAGGAGTTGATCATGGGGGAGGGGAGTGGTTGAGCAGAGCCTGCATCATAATAAATCGGTCGTCTCGGCGGGCACTGTCGCTCTCGGTCGGCCTGATCCTGGGTAGTTCCTCTGGAAGCTACCAGTCTCCCTGTACCTTTGGACTGCTCTACGAAGAGTAGTTTCTGGTAGCCTTAACGTTCTAGCCACATAACGTTGACTTCTCCCATCTTCTACCAACCCGACTATCTGGGCGACTGTTTCGGTGGTTAGAACCATTCCTCAGAACCGAACAAGCACAAAACAATCGAACAAATGAGTTGAAAAAAAAAACACAAATGTGATCTTAGCGCGAACGACAACTGAATAAGCGACGAGTGATGAACTGAGGGGAGAACAGCAAATGCAACACAAAGAGATAAACAGGGTGAAAGGTACGCATATTCGAATGGACCTTGAGGTAATCATACTGTTGTATGTCTTTATTTAAATAATAATCACTAGAAGATGATTACGTAAAAGTTGTATTTTTTTGCTATCGTTTTTCACATCGTGTGGCGCTCACATTCTTGCTCATACCTCAATAGCCACTCTGCGAATTTTTATTTTTATTCTGAAGTCTGTCAATAACAAACAATAATGAAATTTATGATAAATTTAATTCCTTCTTTTCAAATTGTAGTTTTAAATTTTGGACTAATCGAGTAGATCTGCTTGGCTGGTGGACAGTTCAGTTATTGTTAAGCTACCTAGCTCCTCTGTTTTAACCTGCTCTTCTAAAAAATAATCTTTGAATCCCGGGTTTTTATCTGAATCAAAATATATTGCAAACATTTCGGGAATTAGCGTAACTATTACATTTCTATATTGACTACTTCGTGTTAAGTTCTTGCAAGCATTTTTAATAGTACTTACTTGAAAGTGAAATAATTGTTGATGGTGTTTTTCATTTTGTACCTCAATCAGGAATAAAATAAATATGATGTGTCATTAGTTAATAGCCTGATGCTTTTAACTTTGTTTACCAAATTACTCCCATCATCTTCCTTAAGGATATGGAATTTTACTTGGTGTATCATCTTGAGAAAAACAGATTTATCATCTTGTTTAGTGTTAACTGTATATAAACTATAGACTGCTTTTGGTTCTATAAAACAAAATCTTTATTAATTACAATTTCAAATTAAATAATTAGCCCAAAGGTGGGGATTCATTAGAACCTGATATATTATATATTTATTTATTTTTGATCTATTCATCCATTACTTAAATATTATTTTAAACAAATTTTTTTCCAGAACAAGACTGGAACATTTTAGCCAACTGTTCCTCAGTTCCTTATCGAACTGGCTGAAACACTTGTGTGTGTATATATATAAGTCTGTGCCAAATCCAATGCCACGGGACAAAACTGATAATGGTAATGCTGTTCTATGCAAATTTTCACCAACTTTCTTTGACAATTCAGCTTCATTAATTCCTTGAAAAAGAGACTCCTTCACCTTCTCATCTCCATCAACTACAAAATTTCTTGACAATTCTTGCCTTTTTTCCGATCCCTCTGAAACAAAACAAACCATGATATCAGTATCATATCGGACCAGTGCACTAGCGGAACGATACTTTGAATTACCTTGACCTTTTTCTACCTGTGGTATTTGAAGGTGCGTTGAATGATTTTTGTTTGTTATCTCTTCCTGTCCATTTAAGGTCTTGATAAGATTTATGGAGTTGAGGGTCCTCCGCTCGTTAAGTGAAAATATATAAAATAAAATAAAAATTAAGCATAACGATAAAATAAGTAGGGGGGGAGGGAGGAATAGGGATATGGATAGGGATGGGGAGGGGAGGACTAGCCGTGAGGCGGGTTAAATGATTATGTTGGTGGGTTTTATTGGACCCTTACGGCCTCATCTGGCAGGGAGGGGGGATGGGGTGATGGATCGGAATAATGGGTTAAAGGATGCCGGGAGGTTGTCGAAGAACTTGATATGTCTTCTTGAAATATGTTGTTGCACAAAGTCGAGTTGTAGTTCGTTATGGATGTGTTTCATGTTTCGTCTTTCTAATGTTGTCCCTTTGCAGATCTTCATGAGTATGCTGTTCTGGTATTGTTGTAGTTTCTTCAGGGCTGTGGGATATAGGTAGTGTAGGAGGGGGGCACCGTGGAGAAGTGAAGGTCTGAGTATGGCTTTATATATGAGTAATTTGAGTCTGAGTGACAGCCCTGGAGAATAGAGTAGATGGCGGAGTTGGTATGTGGTAGATTTTACTGTTTGTATTCTGTGTTGTATGTGCGCTGTGAAAGATAAGTGTGATTCGAGTTTTATTCCTAGGTATGTGAGATGTCTTTTTGTTTTTATAGTTTGACCGTTAAGTTTAGGTAGTTTTTCAGTGGTTTTCTTGTATGAGAATGTGATGGCGTCGGTTTTTGCGGGGTTGATGTGGATGTTTATGTTTTTAAGTTGGTCTATGATCAGTTGGGCTGCATTTTGTGCTCGGCGCATTGCGTGTTTAGCTCCCATGCTTGCTGTGTAGATAGCAATATCATCAGCATAAGCAGCTATTTGAACTTTGTCAATTTTGGTCCCAACTATTTGGGCAGTGTAAATATTAAATAGGATAGGCGCCAGAACTGAGCCCTGGGGGACGCCACAAGTAACTGGCCTAGGGGGTGACATGTCAGTTTTGACTCGAACTGAGAAGGTCCTGTCACTGAGATATGAGCCGATAATATCGACTAGTTGTACAGGGAATTGGTGATGCCTGAGTTTATCGATAAGGATGGAGTGGGATACAGAATCAAAAGCCTGTGTGCAGTCAAGGGAGATCATGGCTGTGGCAAGATTTTTATTTAGGTTATTAGCTGTTTCGTACTGTAATTTAGCCACGTGGTGATAACAGCTAACGCCGCGAGAGAACCCAGTTTGTTCAGGGGGTACAATGTCATGTGAATCGCAGTGTTTTCGGATGTGGATGAGGATTAGTTTCTCATATATTTTTGAGATGTGGTCGAGGAGACTGATCGGCCGATAATCTTCCGGGACCGCTCCTCGTTTCCGGGGTTTGAGGAGTGGAACGACAATAGCATGTTTCCACTCCGTTGGGAAATATCTGAGGCGTGAGCATGAGTTAAAAATGTTAAGGAGAAACATTAGGGTTTTACGGGGTAGTTGTTTGATAAGGACAGAAGGAATATTGTCCTTTCCAGCAGACTTGTTTCCCTTTGTTTTTCTCAAAATTGCAGTCAGGTCTTTATATGTGGAGAATATTGTGTTATTTAGGTTATCCGTGTGGGAGATGTGATGATAAATGGTGTCAGTACGGGCATCGTCTCGTTCTACGTAGTAGTCTGATAGAATGCTAGCCTGGTCTGCAGGAGTGAGAAGCTCATCGCCTCGAAGGATTTTCACCGATTTGGATTTGGTGTTGTGGCTTCTGACTAGTTTCCAGAATTTTTTATGGTCGTTGTGGGTCCGGCGAAGTTGTTCATGCCATATTGACGTTTTCCACTGCGACATAAGGGATGTTATTTGTCTAGTAAGGCTGTTTATGATAGGTTTGTAAGTAGGGTCTTTAGTTCTGTACCAGCAGTTCTTGATGTTGTTACGTTGTTTTATGATTGATAGGATGTGTTTTGGTGGTATGCGAAGGTGAATTGGAATGGGGTTGAAGGTGGGTATGGTGGTGTTCGCTGCATTATGGATAATGTTGTGTAATGTACTAATGGCGTTGTCGATGTCTATAGTTGTTGTAAGTGTCGTGATGTTAGGTGTGTCACTATATACTTGTGTCTTGTATTGTTTCCAGTCAGCGTGTTTGAAATTGTATTTGTAGTCTGTGGGTTGAGTTAGGGTTGAGTTATGTCCTAGTTCGTATAGTACAGGTATGTGGTCGTTGTTGCTAAAGTCTATCGTGTTGCAGTTTGTGAATCTGTGTGGTTGTTGTGTGAGTAGTAGATCAAGTGTAGACGTGATATTTGGGTTAGCATGATGTCTATAAGTGTATGCATTAGGGTGTATGATTGTATAAGTAGATTTGGTCAGGAAGTTTCCTAATGCATTAGAGTTTGTGCAGTTCCATGTATGGTGTTTGGCGTTGAGATCTCCTACTATTATGTGACGTTTGTCTGTCTCGGTGTCCTTCAGAAATAGTTTTAATATGTCAGGTTTTCCACTAGGACTACGGTAAATGCATGTAATTTTGTATGTATGTTCAAGTTTTACTTGTATAGTAATTGCTGTGTGTTTGTCGTCATTTAGTGTAGTGTTGTTTATTAATCTGGAAGGGACGTCATAACGCACCAGAAGTGCGACGCCACCATGTGATGGGGAATCTAGTCGGTATATGTGGTACCCGGGGAAGTATATGTGAGTTAGTTTGTTGATTCGTGTATCAGTCAGTGCAACGACTGATGGCTTGTGGGAAGCCAGGAGAGTTTCTAGCTCAAGTTTACGAAGCATGAGCCCTGTTATGTTATAGTTTATAATCAAATGTCTAACCATTGATGTTTTTTTGAAGTATAAGGTTAACTGTGTTTAATAGGGTTGTGAACATGGACTTCATGTCCCTGAACATGCCCACGAGTTCGGAGACCCATGGGGGCTGTTCATAGGGTGGGGATTGGGTGGTGGGAGGGGGAGCTAGGTGGGCTACTCCCGCATAAGAGTCGGGTCTTGAGGTGGTGGGCGGAGCTTGTGATGCTTTACCCTTTTGATCTTGTCTGGGGTTTGGTGCTGTATTTCTTCCAGCATGAGCCTGCACTATGTTTTGTAATAGTGCAAGTCTTTTTTCGCAATTGCGATAAGAGGCCACATGAGGGCCCTGACAATTTGCGCATTTGAGGGGGGTGTTTCGGGAGCATTCGCTGATGTCGTGGTGTTCACCACATCGTACGCATTTTATCTTGCGGGCACAGTAATTTTTTGTGTGGCCAAATTGCTGACAGTTGTAACACTGCCTGGGACCATTGATGTTCCTCAGTTTCTCAACTGAGTACCCCATATGGTCGATTGGACCAACTGCTTTGAGGTTGTCAATGGTAGTGTCAGGGTCTGTCGTGACTATAATATGTGGCAGTTCTATTTTGAAGCCATCTGCGTCGGTCTTTTTCATCCTCCATACAGATTTGAGTCCGGGTAAGCGGGCTTGGAGGGTTTCAGTAATTGAATCAAGGTCATGGTCAAGGTCCAGACCTTTAATGATGAATTTATTAAGCGGCCTTGAACCGCGTGGGGAGTAGGTGTGAAAATGAATTTCATCGCTGACATTTAGGACATGTATTGCAGCTTCGTAGTCTGGTTTGAGGTCCAAATACAATTTGGTTTCGTCCCTATTTGAACGAATGGTAAAGTTTTTGATTTTAGCATCTAATAGAGCTTTTCGTAATGCCATAGCGGACATTGCTGGTCTGATAATAATAGGAGGTGGTTTAAACGTTTTTGGCGTGGTAGAGTTTTTGTATTGTGTATTGTTACTACTGGATGGTGTAGGGTCCGTGTTATTATTCATTGTCTGTAATGCAGAAAAACTGTTGGATGTTCTCGTCGGTATGATAGTTGGTCTTGGTGCGTACGAAATTTTCTTGGGTATAATGTAGCCTTCAAAGTCAGTATTTTCGTCCTGATTGTACCTTTTCAGTTTATTTGTGGGAGAGTTGAGGTGTTCCATTGTGCTATGTTGTATCTGTGGGTCATGTTCAGAGTTGTTGTTAGTAAGTGGTGGCGTCATGATGGTGATTTAATAGAATTGTAAGTTAACTTAGACAAATTAATTAACCAAAAGGTTAATAATTAAGCTACGTACTTACGTGAACCTCACATAATGCAGGAGCACACAAGAACGAGAAGTAAACAATACGGAAAACCGTTGAAAACCGTTAAGAGCTGTAGTGACGTCACCAGCGATGTACACTGCAAGCAAGCCAGGAACAGAATCCTTCTTGCCTTCTTTGATCTCCACGCTGTTTAGTACGTGCTTGATGCGCTGGAGACTGTTTCTTTCCTCTTCCACGAGACTGCTGGTTACCATTCTGCCTCGGTTGTTCTTCATCATCATAATAATTCCTACGAAACGTTTGGAATCCTCGACACTGCCCTCGCTGTCTTGAGTAATTATTGAAATGGAATTATTTTTTGGATCAGCTGATGCGAAGCACAGGTTCGAATAATATTAAAAAAATAAAGAATTAAGTTTTATTGAAACAATTACAATTTTTTAGTCTCTCACAACTTATAGAAAAGAAGATGGCCCACGACCGTTAACTCCACATGATATTTGTAGATTTACACAAAGCCTACAATTCAGTACCTCTAGCGAAATTGTGGAAAGCTTTGGAAGCCACATCTATTAAGAGATACCTCATCAGAGCAATTCAAGAGCTATACAAAAATATAACGGGGGCTATAAAAATAGGAGATAGAGTGTCTAGAAGCTTCTCCATTAACAAAGAATTGAAACAGGGCTGCTGCCTTTCACCCCTGATTTTCAACATTTATATAGAACAAGCCCTTAAAGACTGGAAAAGATCGTACTGTGGAATGGGTGTTCAAATCGGGAATGATGTAATCTACAATTTGCAGTATGGCGATGATCAAGTCATAATCGCATCGGATCCGGATGATCTGAGCTATATGATGAGGAAGTTGCTAGACACGTATTCCAGATGGGGTCTGAAGATCAGTGAAAGTAAAACAGAGTGCATGGTTTTCAACGCTCCAAATTTGCCCCTTGAAATTGATGACTGGACGCTAAATGTCAGCCAGCAATTCAAGTACCTCGGATACTGGTTATCTTCAAAGGGAGGTAGTGAGGTTGACATCGAACATAAAATAAATAATGGGAAAAGAATAATAAGTTCGATAAATTCAACCCTATGGAGTAAAGAAATAAGATTAGAAACTAAAAAGAAGATATACCATTCCTTTGTAGAAAGCGTAGCCACTTACGGATCAGAAGTTTGGACAATGACAAAAAAGATGGAAAATAAGTTGCTTTCCATGGAAATGGATTTCTGGAGAAGAAGCTGTGGCATATCTAGAATCGAGCGGATCCCAAACGCAGCTATTAGAGACAAGGTCGGATGTCAAAAGAACATCCTTCACCTGATCGGGACCAAACGGTTAAAGTGGTATGGCCACTTAATGCGGATGGATGAGAACCGCTGGCCAAAGAAAATTTATACCTATATGCCACCTGAAAGAAGGAAGCGTGGAAGGCCAAAGAAGAAATGGATAGAGGACGTGGAGGAAAGCATGGCAGCCAGAGGGCTTCGTGAGGGAGATTGGATGGACAGGGAGCAGTGGCTTTTGGGTATTGAGGATATGACTCTTTAAGTTGTATAAAACCCAAATATAAAAAAAAAAATTACAATTTGATATATATATAACAAATTTAACCAACTCATCCAGCAAGATATCTAATAAAAAAATTTTCATTGGAGTTTATAAACAGCAACATCCTTGCTTTTTGGGGTGCCAATTGGCTTCTGATAAAAACATTCCTGCTTTTGAAAAATGCTGTTCACATAAAACGGATGTTGCTGTTATGCAAAGGCATTCCTCTGCTACTTTTGTAAGGGAAAGTGCCGACGATTTTCATACCACCATCTTATAGGGTCTTCATGCAATGGAATGAGTCCTTCATTGATAAAACGGTTCAGTTCTATTAAAGCTTTACTTTCTGGGGATTCTGTAAAAAAATATAATAACATTATTAAGTTAAAAAATATATAAAAATTAGGCTACTATTAATTTCAATAAATAATTAATTTTTTGACAGATTTTAGTTTGTTAAATACAAGGTTCACTTTTCACTTACAAAAGATTTAACCTTTTCAATTCAGTCATTTTCAAAAATGATTTAAGTAATATGCAATAATAACAAGTAATCAAGTACATTATAACTAAATTTCATAATTCTCTATTGGAATGGTCTATTAAATTTATGTTATAGTAAATTAGCTGTTTAAACTCCCTATATTATGGCAAATGTACATACCAATTAAATATACTAACATTCCAATGATAGTAAGAATTCTGATTTACCTCGGTCGCCGTACGAGACATTGTATGGTAAATTAAAAGGGTGGCCAGCAAATAAAAATCAACACTAAATGCCAACTGTTCATGATAATTCCCATTATATCGCTGTGAATACACTTCATCTATTTTAATTTTGCAATGAACATTTTAAAGCATCGCAAATAATAGCTGATCTTATCGTTTCATACATGTAGTATGTTTTATGAAGAATATGCCTTTTCAATTGTAATTGTATTATGGTTATTTCATTAAATGGCCTCGATAATGTATATAAGTATTTGCTAATATCTATCGTATGTTTACCAAAGAACCTTTTACACCAAAAACAGCTATTTACACATATTCCGGGAGATTATTTCTGCATTTTATAAATTCATGTTTTAATTTTGGCATATAAGAGTCAACTTGCAAAAGTTGTTTGTTATAATTGTCAAAATTTATAGATAGTATTTACTATTTGTAAACTTTTTATGTTTGCATCCTCCTGATTTTCCTTTCTTAATTTATCATTTTTACTACTTTCCTACATCATGGCATATTTGTTTACTATTCTTTTTTTTTTGCACTTGTTCCACCTTTCATCTTGGGGGCAGTTTTCAATTTGATTTATCAAAGGTGTTTCGTCAATGCATCTGCCGCGAAATCACTGGAATCATAATCTGGTTTAATAATATCATCCGGATTTGTCAATACATCATCATTGTTCCATCTAGTTCCAGGTATAGAATTTTGCGTTCTGAACTTTTGCCGATACGCTCTACGTGTAGTTGTATTAGACAAAGAAACAAGTGTCTTTTGAAATTTGACTGTACTATATTCTGTGCAATTGGAACATATATATTATTGTGATCATATACACCTCTAGCTAAAACTGGTAGAAACAATTCCTCATTATGCAAAACCATGCCAACATTACTAATTATTCTATTAATTGGTTCTGACAATTTAACAAATGCATTGGCAATGTGCACGAAATCATAATTTAGACCAGGTTCTCGTAATTCAGACAAATCTTCTATAACTTCACCATAGGTCGATTCTTGAATCTTGATTTCACACATACTTAAAAATGCCCTGTACAACGAATTCACAGATGGTATATTAATACTTTCTTTGTATTTCTGAATGACATAACACAAAGTCTGTGTACCAAATCCAGTGCCACGTGACGAAACTGATAATGGTAATGCTGTTCTATGCAAATTTTCACCAACTTTCTTTGACAATTCAGCTTCATTAATTCCTTGAAAAAGAGACTCCTTCACCTTCTCATCTCTATCAACTACAAAATTTCTTGACAATTCTTGCCTTCTTTGATCTCCACGCTGTTTAGTACGTGCTTGATGCGCTGGAGACTGTTTCTTTCCTCTTCTTCATCATCATAATAATTCCTAGGAAACGTTTGGAATCCTCGACGCTGCCCTCGCTGTCTTGAGTAATTATTGAAATTGAATTATTTTTTGGATCAGCTGATGCGAAGCACAGGTACGAATAATATGAAAAAAATAAAGAATTCAGTTTTATTCAAACAATTACAATTTGATAAATATAATAAATTTAATCAACTTCTCCAGCAAGATATCTAATAAAAAAATTTTCATTGGAGTTTATAAACAGCAACATCCTTGCTTTTTGGGGTGCCAATTGGCTTCTGATAAAAAGATTCCTGCTTTTGAAAAAAGCTGTTCACATGGAACAGATGTTGCTGTTATGCAAAGGCATTCCTATGCTAATTTTGCAAGGGAAAGTCCCGACGATTTTCATACCACCATCTTATAGGGTCTTCATGCAATGGAATGAGCCCTTCATTGATAAAACGGTTCAGCTCTATTAAAGCTTTGCTTTCTGGGGATTCTGTAAAAAATATAATAACATTATTAAATTAAAAAATATATAAAAATTAGGCTACTATTAATTTCAATAAATAATTAATTTTTTGACAGATTTTAGTTTGTTAAATACAAGGTTCACTTTTTACAATTAAAAAGATTCAAGTAATATGCAATACAAGTAATCAAATACATTATAACTAAATTTCATAATTCTCTATTGGAATTTTCTATTAAATTAGCTGTTTAAACTCCTTATGTATATATTATGGCAAATGTACATACCAATTATATATACTAACGTTCCAATGATAGTAAGAATAATGACAATCCTAAATATAACAATAAGACAGCACTAGCGGTACACCATGCTCAATTAGGGCATAAATTTGATTTAAAATTGATGACTAATTGATTAATAAAACAATTTTAATATCCTAATTTAAATTAAATAAATAACTGTATAAAAGGGATCAATAACAAATAGTAGTTATATTGTCTTGATAATTCAAATTTAATTAAATATTTAAATTAATCTATGTTTGTACTTTTTTTTTTTTGTGAGCAAAGGATGATGAAGGTATGTTTATTTTAATAAAAAAAAAACAGATCTTAAGGATATGCAAAACAAAATAAAAAACTATGTCAATTGGATTCATATTTCATCTATAAAAAATCTTAAAATATTACTTTACAATAGTTGCACTTCCAGATGTGGTCCTTGAGGAAGCAACAATTTTTTTAATAAGTAGTCCTTTCAGGTTATTTTTTGCAATATGGACTGCATCAGTCTTTATTTTGGAATCTCATCTTATACCTCGGATGCACTAAAGTGCATAAAGCCTGTGTTCCACTTCCCTCTTCCAAGTTCCCAAATCTTCCTTTTTTCTGAGTTTCTTTTATTGAAATGTCTATAATCACTTTTAAGTTTGCAAAATTCATCTAGTTTCTTATACTTATTTAGTAGGTCTAAAAGTCCTCAAATCATCACAATTAAGCTGGAAGCAGGAGGATATTTTTGGAAACTTAAATTTTCAGTGAATTGTTTATAAGGTTTTAATAATGAAATTCATTTTCTAGTAAGCTGCCACTCTAATGAATTTAGAGAGGGCAATTCTGCATATATATTAATGCTATGGGGGTTTTAATTGGCACTTCCAACTCCAGGAACCTTGACAACATATTGAAGGTTGAATTCCATCTAGTCTCCACCGAATTCACAAGCTTTAATGGTGGGTCATTCCATTCCGCCTCTGTGTTTCAGACAGTTTTCGCCACGATTTTGAAGATATGCTGAAGTGGTTAACTGTTTTCTTAATTTTGTTAACAATCTCGCACACTTCCGGTGATTCTAGCATTTTTTGTAAAATCAAATTTTATCAGCAGCGCAACCCATAAGTTTCATCTGTTGACTTCTTAATGCTGACATCATGTTGGGCGCTTTGTCAGATACTGCTAATATGTGATTTTGTTTTTCACACCCCAATCGCTGGGGTTCTACATTAATTATGTCACAATCCAACAGTGTAATTATAAATTTACTAATTAATGAAATGAGTGGTTAAAGCTAAATAGGTCATATTTTGTCGGGATGTCCAAAAATCAGCAGAAATGCTAATTGTTCTTGATACCTGCAAACAATTTCTAAGGTTTATTTTACTCTCTTCATACTTAGCAGGTATTAAAGAATTTGATTACACTATCTTCGACAATAGAAAAAGGTTGGTAATCTTGGATAAAAAGTTATTGTAAGTAATCATTAATGTCCTTTTTATATTGTGCATATAATCTTTTAGACGCAAAGTCAGTTATTTTCATCAGTGAAGTAGAAGCTTGGGCCAAATCCAATGAAAGTGGTGGCAGAATGTCGCTGGAAGATAAATCTTTATCCTGAAACGTCAATGGTTCCAAAAATGCCGGGTTTTCTGCAAATCTAATTGGAGCCTTTCTCATTTGCTGTGGAATTATTTGCGCTGTCAGATGGTGTCAGATAATATGTTTTTTTAAATTACTAGTAGTCGACTTATAGCTAAGCATTGTTTTGCATATGTTACATTTTGCTAATTCTTTACCAATTTTCTTAAAATAGTCCCACATAACGCTTTTTTTTAAACGAGGATTGATGGATGACATATTGGATTAAATTAAACTGCAAAATTAAAATACACAACCTAATCTGAGAAAACTGATCACGAATTATAATAAATAAAATTAACAAAACAATGAACCAAACAGAACTAAACTATATGAAATCTTTTACACAAACTATCTAAACCTACACTCATTACTTCTAAACTCTTTCATCGTTGCATTACTTCTGTCATTTTCTCTTTGTGAATACTCATCATTAGTTCTATGATCCTTCATCATAGCCTTGTTTCTCTCATGCTCTCTTTTTGAATAATCGTCACTTGTTCTAAGGCCCTTTATCAAGGCCTTATTATAAATATGATATTTAATTTATCCCTACAGCCCAGTGTTGGGCGTTATTTAATTAAATTATTTGAAATTTTATCTAGATAACGAATAATAGACAAATTTTTATTCATCATTTCTTATTCGACGATCTTTGGACAGATGATTATTTGTTATTTACAAATAATATGCATTATCTGTTATCTATTATTCGTTATTTAAGATGAAAATACGATTCGAATAATCTCTTTTACAATTTTAGGATTTCTTCGAAATTAAATCTGTTTATATGTTTTACGGAGCCTTTTTTATGAAAAAAATTTGATATAGCGGATTTGAGATAGCGCCCCCTCCCCCCAAACCGAATATTTGTATCTTTTCGGATTTAATTGATATGAGGGGCGACTATTATGTTTTGGGGGGCCCTTTTTATGAAAATGCTGTCGGTTTTGAGATAGCGCCCCCCCCCCTCCCTTCGAACCGACTTTTGTAACTTTTCAGATTTAATTGATATGAGTGTCGACTATTATGTTTTGGGGGGCAGTTTTTATGAAAAAAACTGTCGTATTTGAGGAGATAGCGCCCCCCCCCCTACCCCCCGAACCGACTTTTTGTAACTTTCCAGATTATGCTGTCGGTTTTGAGATATCGCCTCCCCCCCCCCCTCCCCGCAACGGCTTTTTGTAACTTTTTGGATTTAATTCATATAAGGGTCGACTATTGAGTTTTGAGGTATGGTTTTTTTGAAAATACTTTCGGAAAGCTCCTACGGGCACCGACTTTTTGTAACTTCGGATTTTAAATTGCGCCCCTTCTCCTATCGACTTTTCTTAAATTCGACAGTATTTTCATAGCAAAGCACCCTTTAAAACATAACAGTTGACCCTCATATCAAATCAATCCGGAAAGTTACAAAAAGTCGAAGCAGGAGATGGTGCGAGGGCGCAATCTAAAATCCAATATTATTTTCATAAAAAGCTACACCACAAAAAACATAATATTCGACCCTCATATCGATTAAACCAAACAAGTTACAAAAAGTCGGTTTTGGGGGAGGGGCGCTATTTCAAATCCGACAGTATTTTCATATAAAGGGCCCCCAAAACATAATAGTCGACCCTCATATCAATTAAATCTGATAAGTTACAAAAAGTCGGTCCGGGGGAGGAGGGGGGAGGGAGAGAGGCGCTATCTTAAATCCGACAGAATTTTCATAAAAACCCTGATATGGAAAAAATCCTAAAAAGTCGCAATGCAGTGGTGTTATCTTAAAATGGAGATAATTTTCAAAAACTATGGATCTGAAAATAAACACATTGGCCCGTATATAGAAGAAAAATAAAATTAGCGTCAAATTATTCGAAATTAATTTGAAAAACGTCGAATAACAAATAAAAAGATAACAGATAACTTGAATTTATTTATTATCTAGATAAAAGATAAACACAATTATTCGTTATTTGTAGTTGAAAAGTTCGAATAAATTATTCGTTATCTATTATCTTTTATTTAAGATAAATTTTGCCCAACACTGCTACAGCCTACTAACGTCAAAACCAAGGTCAGTAAAACTACCAGGTTCGCTCACTCAGAAATGCGTGGTGGGAAACTTGAAACGTGACGTAAGGAATAGACTGCGAGACCTACCAGTTACTCTTTCAAGCCTATCAATGAAGGCTTATTTCAACATTATTGTGCTTTTTTTTTGGTTTTCTAGTTTAATTTATTGAGAAGAATACTTTCCTGTGTTTTTGACGTTTGATTGGAGATAATTTCAAGCAGATAAATAAATAAATACGGCTATCAATCTAGAATAAAATTTTATGAAAATTACAGGCCAGACCTGAAACGAAAAGAATGAAATTGATATTAAGATTATTTTCAAATTCTTTATTTCAAAATCTCTGTAAATAATATACAAATATATTACATAAATAGAAAAAACTAAGATTTATATATATTTAGAGAACATTTTAGCACAATGTTTGTGTAATTTTGTTTGTAGGTCTCGTGGGTATTTCTTTTAGTATTATAACGATATTATAATGGTGAAGATCTTTGTCAGGATTTGCAGTAAAAAATTCTTTAAATAAATAAATTTAATTAAAAAAATAAACAAATTTTACTGCAAATCCTGATAATTTATTTTCACCTTATAATCTTAACAGTCAATTACTTATCCGTCTCTAAAATAATATTATAACGAGTATTTTTTTTTTTACTTTTAATAACATGTTACAGTGAATTCGTTTATTCGTATTAGTATTTCTCATAATAACATAATTATTAATAGAATCCTATAGAATGCCACGTACAAAATGCGCAGTTGCATCTTGCAACAATAATCTAATTGACACAAAGAAGATGGGAAAGAAAATTTCATTTCATACTTTTCCAAAGGACACTCGAAGAAAAGATTGGATTTTAAAATGTAAATGTAAAAATATTGTAAAAACATTTACTATCTTTTTCTTAGGAAACAAAATGTAGAAATTAATGAAGAAAGCATTTTTTTTCAGCAAAGAGTATTTAATAGAATCAAATTTTTAAATACCTAATAATTTTTACAACAATTAAAAAAACATAAAATCAAAGCCAAAAAAAATTGAGAAAAATCACTACATAGATTACTTATGACATAAAAATGTAATATTTACAAAAATTCACGGAAAGAAAACATTTCTTTAATGTTAGATTACATACTTTTTCTTTTTTTTCAATATTTTTTTTATTTTATATTATGCTCTGTATTTATTTGAAATATTTAAAAAGTAGTATTGTGGTACTTTGCTAAAAATCATACAACTTGTTAAATTACATTTTATTTGCTTCGGAATAAACCAAATATCAAATCAACCTTTCTCTAACCTTTCAAATTTATTAAAATCAATAAATTAATAAGTTATTTGGCAATACCGTATTGATTTAATTTATAAAAGTAAATAATAATCTTAAAATGTCCAGAAACAAAGGCCGGAGGGGTAAACTTAGTCTTTTGCCTATGTCATAGCTCGCCGCCATTTTCCCTCTGAGTGAGCGAACCTGGTAGTTTTACTGACCTTGGTCAAAACAAACACCGAATGACAGGTGGAAGGTTAAAAATGGTACACTTTAATGTGCCCAACTAACTCTTGAGCTTCGATACTGTGATCGATAGTTCACTATAATCGGATAACTCCATGACGACTTGAACTTTGTTCCGATTTGAAACAAAGAAACATGTACGTCATTTTGAACTACAATTGTACAACTGACTCTAAGCGCTGAGAATAGATGACCTACGTTCAACTTGCCTGCATTCTGATTTACCTCGGTCGCCGTACGGGACATTGTATGGTAAATTAAAAGGGTGGCCAGCAAATAAAAATCAACACTAAATGCCAACTGTTTATGATAATTCCCATTATATCGCTGTGAATACACTTCATCTATTTTAATTTTGCAATGAACATTTTAAAGCATCGCAAATAATAACTGATCTTATCGTTTCATACATGTAGTATGTTTTATGAAGAATATGCCTTTTCAATTGTAATTGTATTATGGTTATTTCATTAAATGGCCTCGATAATGTATATAAGTATTTGCTAATATCTATCGTATGTTTACCAAAGAACCTTTTACACCAAAAACAGCTATTTACACATATTCCGGGAGATTATTTCTGCATTTTATAAATTCATGTTTTAATTTTGGCATATAAGAGTCAACTTGCAAAAGTTGTTTGTTATAATTGTCAAAATTTATAGATAGTATTTACTATTTGTAAACTTTTTATGTTTGCATCCTCCTGATTTTCCTTTCTTAATTTATCATTTTTACTACTTTCCTACATCATGGCATATTTGTTTACTATTCTTTTTTTTTTTGCACTTGTTCCACCTTTCATCTTGGGGGCAGTTTTCAATTTGATTTATCAAAGGTGTTTCGTCAATGCATCTGCCGCGAAATCACTGGAATCATAATCTGGTTTAATAATATCATCCGGATTTGTCAATACATCATCATTGTTCCATCTAGTTCCAGGTATAGAATTTTGCGTTCTGAACTTTTGCCGATACGCTCTAGGTGTAGTATTATTTGCTAATATCTATCGTATATTTACCAAAGAACCTTTTACACCAAAAACAGCTATTTACACATATTCCGGGAGATTATTTCTGCATTTTATAAATTCAAGTTTTAATTTTGGCATATAAGAGTCATAAGAAATCACAATTTAGACCAGGTTCTCGTAATTCAGGCAAATCTATAACTTCACCATAGAACGATTCTTGAATCTTGATTTCATACATATCTAAAAATGCCCTATACAACGAATTCACCTCTGGTATATTAGGATGACCACTTCTCTTTTGTGTTTCCAGACAATGACACCCACGCTGTCCTTCTTAAAACCACGATTTTTTCTTTCCTGTTTTTCTTCAGTTTTGAAGAAAGCCCTCTTCTGTTTAACTGAATTGTTCCAGTCAAGTGACAGTCATATATTAGTAATTCTTTAGCTACTTTTATATTTGTATAGTACCGGTCAATAAAAA